ATATGGCGACAAACCTTAGTCGCCACTACTGCAGTCTTGTGGTGTTCATGGTGTTTTTTGGTAGTTTTGTGTCAATTTTATGTTGCTTTTGAGGTGTTATTGTGGTGATGGTGACGATGGTTAAGTGTTCATAAAGTATGTGTCAAATGCTATGTTGATATTTAGTGGTGGTGGTGGTGGTGAGATGGTCAAATGCTGATAGAGTGTGTGTCAAATATTATGTTGATATATGGTGGTGGTAATAGGTCTCAAGTCACATGTTATTATGCATAAGTCATAGATAAAATGTCCACGGGTCATATATCAAACACAACTAATTACAGGTCACATTCTACAAGTGATAGGTTATATTGTATAGGTCACAGAATAACATTAACCGATCATAGATCGTATGTCACATGTCTTTGTGTACTAATAACAAGTTACAGATTCAAGTTCATAGGTCAGAGTTCATATGTTATAGGTCACAAGAAATAATTCATTGGTCACAGGTCATATTGCATATGTAACAAATCAATGTCCACGTCATAAATCTAAGAGAACTGGTTATAGGTCATTGGGTCAATATCATATGTAACAGTTTACCGATCACATGTGACAATATATACACAGGTAACAAATTCAATAGAATTGATCACAAGCCATTGATTTCTCTGACCTTAGCTGTCACAATTGCCTTCAAAAATTCTACTACACAGTATCGACAACTTCCAATTTTAACCATAATCATTTAGCGGGTTTCAATTTTGATGGTGAGAATCGAAGTTATTTCATCCGACAAGTTCTCTATAGATTCTCTCTTTGATCGATCTCCTGATGTATAATGCCGATAAATTTTAATTTGTGACCTCAATCATCCTACGAATTTTAATTAACCAGATTCCAACAATGAGAATTGAAGTTATTTGCTACGACGAGTTCTCTGTAGATTATATTTTTGTTTGATCTTCTTATACACAGTGTCAAAAACTTCCAATTTTCTACTTCAAATGTTCGAAGGATTTCAATTAACTAGATTTGGGCAATGGAAATCAAAATTAGTTGCTCCGACAAGTTCTCTGTAGAAATGGAATCCTGTTTGGAAAGAAAACATTTGTAACTGAATGCTTGATTTTAGGAATTAAAATTAATATATATATTATTTACCTCTTGATTTTTGAACTTTTAAACTCTTTCTCTTAAAATTGAATTGGGGTATAGTTAATGTTTGACTTATGTATTCTTCCCTTTATAGAATCGCAAAAAGCCCAATAATGGTAATCAATTCCTTACAAAGGAAAAAAGAGAATATGACCATAATAATGAATTATTATGCCATTATCTTCATGTATTAATGGATCCCAAAGTTTGTGTACTTGGAAAGAAAACGAAAATACCTCAAGTGTATGTGAGAAAGAAAGTAGGGAAATAAGTTTATGTATAGATTTTTGGGAGCATCCACTCAAATTATGACGATTAAAACATGATATTTCATGTGCCTAGCGAGTCAAAGAGAAAAATGGAGTGTGAAAGTATGAGTTACCATTACTTCAGTGATTCAAAATTTAAAGTGTCAAGATTTGATTAATTAGACAAGTCTTACAACATGCACATGGAGAGGGAGTGGAGTGTTGGACTTGGGCTAGTGCTTCACTATTCAGTGGACTCTAGCCTTAGTTGATGGTGATTTCTACTTGGGCCATATTGGAGCATCTTTACTTGGGCCCTGATCACCCGTTGGCAAAACGTGCTTTAGTAATACGACTTTGGCTATTTGATTACCTTTAATATGGACTTTTCATGTGCTGTTATTGTAGCCGTTCAATATGTGGTTATGATTGAATATATATAGCTTCTCTCTCCATGCCGTTTAAGTTTTCAGTCTGTGTGAAGTTTCTAGGGTTTTCTCGTTTGGTTCTCTTTCTGTAGTCTTGGTAGTTTTTCTTTGTAAATCTTCTGAGTGTTGATTTAGATTGTTTCTAGTAAACAATTTGTCAGAAAATGTTGTATAGATTACATTGTTTTGTGATTGAAAGATAGGCGAGAGCAATCTGAAGAAATCTCTTATTTCTTCATGCAGTTGTACTATTTCTTGGTGACTTCTTAGTAGAATTGAGCATAATCTACTTGTAAATGCTCAACGGCTGAGTAGGTTTTGCAGCTGAACATCCTGGCCTTTGTAGCAAAAAATCCCTTATGTTCTTTTATTTTTTTGCAAACTTTTGTTAAATCTTTGTGAATATGATTTTGAGGCCAACAAGTGCCATCAGAGTTTGAAATTTTTTATCTATCGGGCGTTAGGGTTTGTTCTTACTGAAACCCTAGTTGAGTTTTTGTAGATTAAATTTTATTTAAAGGATTTTTTCAAATGTGTTTTTTAAAATAAATAGTCTTCAAATGTTTGTTTGTTAAATCTCCCTCTTTCATCTAATTCTTATTGGATTTTTTAAAGATTGGGTGTATTTTTTTTTTTTAAAAAACACAGGTTTTGGATCTATTCAATCTTGAAAGTTTTTGAGAAAAACACTTTGATATGCTCTGGATCTGAAAAATCTTTAGTATTTACTGAATTTGTTGGTGATTTGACTCTTGACTTACCACTGAGTTGGTGTGGTGTTTTTCAACTCCTCCTAAGTGTTTGTGAGTTGGGTTGACTCATTCCGAGTTTTGTTGCTATTCTTGACTAATTGCTGAGTTGAATAGAGTCATTGTGACTCATGGAGCATTTGATCATATCCCTAGACTTGTGAACTGGTTCTAATTCTCTCACTATGATCTTTTACTGAAACCTCAAAGGTTTCAGCTTTGGTATAATCCTACATACTCTTAATTTTTGGTCAGACAAATTAGATTGTTGTTGTCTAAGTTTGATCTAGTTATTAAGGTAATTGATCCACCACTACTTTCCTTTGCCCAAGATCTCCTATGAGGATCTGTGAATTTGAGGGAGTAGTGGATGCATAGGTCATCACCCCTTAAACCTGTTAAACTGACAAATTTAATTCTTAATATTTGTCTTCATTGACCATTACACTGTTATATAATTTTTGAATTGTTTGGATTGTATAATTTGTCTTATAAATTGTGTAAATTGCACGATAAAAAGATTTTTTTTGCAACATGCTTTCTTATTCTCAAATTTGCATACTTTATAATCTTCTCATACTGATATACTTTGTGTATTGCATAATCTTGACTTTGTGAACTTATCTACTGTTATGACAATTGCACATAAATTTGAAGTAGAAATTTGAAAGGGGACTAGAGACTTTAATCTTTGAAGTCAAAAGACGAGGGCTCTATTGTTATAATAGAGGTGTGTTACTGCCCCTGATGGAACAATGGGTACTGAAATTAGTGCTTATAGGAGATAAGAACTAGATAAGATTGCTTGGAGTACAATCTTTCTATATTTGTCTGATAGTGTGATAAGAAAGATAGGGGAAACAACAACTACTGCAACCTTATTGACTAAGTTAGGATCCCTCTATCTAACCAAGACAATGCCTAATAATTGCTTTCTCCTTAGACAATTCTATAATTTTAGATTTGATACCTTTTCCACCTTAGAAGAAAAGATTGATAAATTCATTAAATTGATTCAAGATTTGGCTAATCGTGATGAGGAGTTATCTAATGATCAACAAGTTGTTGCTCTATTGAATGCTCTAGGTGATAAACATAGGGAATTTAGAAATGCTTTAGAATATGGGAGAAAGGATTTGATTGTTGATATTATTATCTCACCATTAAAAAATAGATAATTTGAACTAAAGATTGAAGTTAAGGATTCTAAATTTTGAGAAGTGCTAAACATTAAAGAGAAATTAAATCAGAATAAAAAGAAAAATCAGTGTAGCTTTAACTTCCCAAAAAGGATAAAATCTCAAACTCCCAAATTTATAAATCAAAACAAAAGTCAATTGAAATCCTAGAATCAAGTTAGGAAATGTTATTACTATGGTAAAATTGGACATCTTATAAAAGATTGCTTCAAAAAGATATTTGATATGAAAGGAAAATCAAATATTAATGGGTCTGCAGCAATAGTCTGCAATAATGAATCTAAAGTACAACAAGTTGTCCTTGTCACTTCAACAAAAAGAAGCCCAAAGGAATAGGTTCTGGATTATGGCCTTTCTTTTCATATGTGTTCTGTTAAAGAATGGTTCACTAAGTTTAATTATCTTCAATGGTGGCTAAGTGCAAATGGGTAATGATATGACTTGCAAAATACAAGGTATTGGTAAAGTTCATCTTGTGATAGAAAACAGCCATATTCTTGAGCTTCCCTTGACAAAATATGTTCTTGACCTTTAGAGGAATTTGATTTCCTTAGGAGAATTGTATAATGAACATGAGGTTAAAATCCATAAGGGATTTACTAAATTGAATCTCAATTCTAGAGAGATAATCTCTTTACCCAAGGTTAATGGTATTTACACACTTTAACCTGAACCATTAGTTGGAAATTATCAGCTGTTATTCAGTCGTCCTCTGATGATAAAAACCATGATTAAGCATAAAACACTAGGGCATAGAGACACCTAGTGAGTCATAGAGAGAAAATAGTGGGTGGGTGTCTAAGTTGTCATGCTTTGAGCAATTCGAAATTTAATGTGTTTTGATTTGATTGAATGGACTAATCTTACCAGTATGCACGTGTAAATGTATTTCTCAAGATGTGGAGGAAGGTGCCCTTTGAGTCATAGATAGAAATAAGAGTGGATGAACGTTCGGGTTACCATGATTTGAACAGCCCAAAAATTAAAATTTCGTAATTTAATTGGATAGATAAATTTTATCACGTGTCCATATAGGAACGTGAGATGGAATGCGTGGGCGAGTGGAGTAAGGTAGTAAAGAAAAATGAAAAGCCTAGGATCTGAACCGTGTCAAAGTGTCTTTTCCTTGTAGTTTTGCAATTCTGCCTTTGATTATTTACTCGGAAAAGGGGTTAAAGGGATATCACATTTTTCATTGTTTTCAAAGAAAATTTCAAGAAACAGAGTCAACCGACCTTAACCTTTTCTGTGCTTCTTTGGTCGTATGTATATGTGGGCTTCGAAGACTCCACAAAGTTTTGCGGGGATTATCTTCCATCTCTCTTATCTTTCATTCACAGTTATAATTTTGTTTCTCTCTCAACCCTTCTCTGAGCAACAACAAGCACTTTTAAACCCTTCTCTCTCTCTACTTATTCTGCTTTTTGCAAGTCAAGCATGCAGATCTTTATATAAAAGAATAATAATGAAAAACCCCTCAAAACTAGGGTTTTCTTGAAGCATTTTGGCTCACTCTCACCCTACTTCACATGGAATCCGAGAGAGGGATAGAGAAGGAAGTGCTAGCCAGCAAAAATGAAGGGTCTTCTTTTGCTTGCCTTCTTTCTCTTTCTTTCTCTCAGTAAATCTCTGTAGAGAGGCAGTTGAGACATTTTGATATAGGCATTGTGTCTCCTCTACCTCTCTATCCCCTTTTTAATTTTAATTTTTTTTTCTAGAAAATAATCACTTTTTTCTTCTTAATTTTTACTTACTGCTTCAAGTTCAGTCCATAATCCAGCAATTTTTCATCTAGTTACTATTCTTTTTTCTTTTTTATGGCATAAATTGGAGTGATTCTCTAATGAATGTATTTGTTACAAGGAAATTTTTTTTATGAAGGCAACTTTCTTATCGGTGCAGAAGGAGGGTGTTTGTATAGAAAGTGGTTGAAATAAGGAAAAAAAATTCAAAGAGGGTATTATTTCATGAATTTTGGGGGTTTTCTTGATAAAAACTCGGGCGGCGGCGGCGGTAGTGTCGGAGGTGGTGGTGGCGTAAAAATTGCTACCGATATACCCTATAGCAACGGGAACAACAACATGCCCACTGGCCCCATAGCTCAGCCGCACCTTGTATCTCAGTCGCTCTCCACCAAGCCTATGTTCAACTCACCTGGACTCTCTCTTGTAAGATATATATTATATTAACATTTTCCATCTTTTCCATTTCTATTGATTAGATGCTTTATTTCTCTAACACCCCACCCCCACACCTACATACACCAAAAAGTAAGTATCTCCATTCTATATGTGTCTTCTTTCGCATTCTTTCAATTCTTTTCCTTCAAAAAATATAAAAATAAATCTCTCTCTCTCTCTCTCTCTCTCTCTCTCTCTCTCTCTCCCCCCCCCCCCCCCTCTCTCTCTCTCTCTCTCTCTCTCTCTCTCTCTCTACATATGTACACACACACACATAGTATAATTAGTTCTTTCTGCTGATGTTTTTGTGGGCTGTTATTTTGGCAGCAAACAGGCATGGATGGGCAAGGAGAGGTGGCAAGAATGGGGGAAAATTATGAATCAAGCATTGTTGGTTGCAGAAGAAGTAGAGATGAAGAACATGAGAGCAGATCTGGTAGTGATAACATGGACGGTGCATCAGGTGATGATCAAGATGCTTCAGACAAACCTCCGAGGAAGAAAAGATACCACCGACACACACCTCAGCAGATTCAAGAACTTGAAGCGTATGCTTCTTTTCTATTTTATTTTTTTAATTTTGTTTTTATTCTTTTTTTTTTTTTCAATTTTTTGCTTATTATAAAGAAATCCCTTTTTCTCACTTTCTCAATTTATTCACAAGGATTGTTGGCTGATTTTGTGGATGCTTGAATTTGTTTTAGTCTTTTCAAGGAGTGTCCGCATCCAGATGAGAAGCAAAGATTAGAGCTTAGCAAGAGGCTTTGCTTGGAGACTAGACAAGTGAAGTTCTGGTTTCAGAATAGAAGAACTCAAATGAAGGTATAGATTCTAAGAAAAGATTAGCTTTTTGTGTTTAATTTTGGGTTTATTAAGAAATTTTTATTCTTGATTGCACCAGACACAACTCGAGCGCCACGAGAATTCGATACTTAGGCAAGAGAATGACAAGTTACGTGCTGAGAATATGTCGTTTAGGGATGCGATGAAGAATCCTATCTGCAACAACTGTGGTGGTTCTGCCATAATTGGCGAAATATCACTTGAAGAGCAACACCTAAGAATTGAGAATGCTAGGCTAAAGGATGAACTAGATCGCGTTTGTGCGCTAGCAGGAAAGTTTTTAGGCCGTCCGATTTCATTGTTAGCAGCCTCTACGATGGGAACACCAATGCCAAACTCAAGTTTGGAATTTGGATTTGGAAGCAATGGATTTGGAGACCTGAATGTTGTTCCGACTACACTGCCTTTAGGGCCTCATGATTTTTGTGTTGGAAATTCGAGTCCTTTACCGGTGATGCCTCAAACTAAGACCACAATGAATGTAACACCCATCGAGAGATCATTGGAGAGATCGATGTATTTGGAGCTTGCTTTAACAGCAATGGATGAACTCGTTAAAATGGCGCAAATTGATGAACCCCTTTGGCTAAGGAACTTAGAAATTGGAAAGGAAATACTCAACCATGAAGAATATATGAGAACTTTCACTCCTTGCATTAGCATGAAGCCCAATGGTTTTGCTACCGAAGCTTCGAGGGAGACGGGGATGGTGATCATCAACAGTTTAGCACTCGTTGAGACCTTAATGGACTCGGTGAGTGAATATTTCTTGAATTTGTTCAGTGCTTAACATTGGACTATACTATACTTTCTTTTTATTTATCTCATTAAGCATCGTCTAGTCGAGTATATCAAATATGTTGCAAAAGTTTTCGTTATTGCAATAGTTAAGTCATTCACAATTCAAGTATGATGGGACTCCTGTTAGTTGGGATGCTTTGTTAGTAATTTGTTTTCAATTCTCTTTTCTTATATGATGATGATTAAGGCAGTGACTGATTAAGGTTTGTTTAATTGTTATAGAACAAATGGCGAGAAATGTTCCCATTTATTATTGCCAGAACCTCAACTACTGATGTAATATCAAATGGCATGGGAGGGACCAGAAATGGTGCACTTCAACTTGTAAGCATTGTACAATAAAAACAAAGTTCAAAAAATCTCATTTATCGTACTCTTGAGTCCTATCCAATACTGTTCACCAAAAATACTGATATCTTTGTCCATATTTTTGTTAGATGCATGCTGAACTACAAGTACTATCGCCACTGGTCCCGGTTCGAAAAGTTGATTTTCTCCGATTTTGCAAGCAGCACGCAGAGGGCATTTGGGCAGTCGTGGATGTGTCGATTGATGCCATTAGAGAAGCTGCTGGTGCACCAACATTTCCAAATTGCAGAAGGTTTCCGTCTGGCTTTGTGGTGCAAGATATGCCCAATGGCTACTCAAAAGTAAGCATTCTTCCTCCGAATATACATTGTTTCGGTGGTCACTTAACTATTTAATGTCCAACAAACTTAGTTTTCTTCACATTTATTGAGTCTCTTATAGTTGTTGTCCATTGCCCTTTTGTGTTAATGGGTTTGGTGATACAACTGTATCTTTGGATCTTTGTTGGAGGCATTGTATTCACCAATATACCTAATTACCATTGTTATAAAATCTGTAGAATACTACCTGGCTAGGTCAACCCAGCCACTTTGTTTAACCTTTTGATGTCAAGTGTCGGAATTTCATTGGACTTTGCACAAGAAAACAGATCTAAAACAGCCAATTAAAATCTGCCGCATCAGCACATGGCAACTTCCCGTGTACAAACGGCTTTATACTTGTTTTTCTTGGTTCAACGTTCGAGCCTCGTTTAAAATACTTGCTATGCTATCATTTTCATTCTCTTTTATGTTTTCTCCGGTATAGTCCGACTTATCAAGTCCAAACTTTTGGCGCTAATACGCTTGACTCGAAGTTTTAAAATCTTGTACACTTTATTTTAATATTGCATGCTGCAAAACATATTTTAACAAAATTTTCAAAATCGAGGTTGCTCAATATCTGTATAGAATCTTAGACATTATTATAATCGATTTTAACCCTATTAATTAAATCATTAGAAGCCACTATTAGTTCCATTTTTGCTCCTTGGGACACATTAATTTTCCATATGATTTAGAAATTAATGCTGGGAATCTTCAACAACATTGGTAAAATAAAACTGAGTATTTGATGTTTCTATACCAATCTATGATACTGCCATCACCCCACCCCACCCCAACTCACCTCACCTCACATTGTCTGTATTATCTGGTTCCAGCCACATGATGTGCTAATTTTTCTACTTATGCAAGACCGTGTAGTCAAACCTTTAGACTGGCTGGGCTATATTTCTATTTTCATGTGGGCATCTAGGGCATTCTGAGCAGATTCCTAATACAGAAGGATTTTGATAGATACAATGACAGAAGTGTAGGTAGAGTAGGTTATTGGATGTGAAAGCTTATCATATTTTAAACAGTTCAATGATAAAATATCATAGGGTATTATGTCAAAGTTTTTGTCGACCTATTTGACATTGTAGTATTATTGATTACAAATTACTATGTCTCACCTACCCACCTCGTGCCTCTAAATCTTGCAGAATTTTGTGTAACTGTTGACCCGGTGAAAAGAAAAAGGAATAGATATTTGAAGCCCATTGATTGTTTTTAAATACATTTTTTGTTATATTGTTCTTAATTATATTACTCGTCAATGAGCAGGTTACATGGGTAGAACATGCTGAATATGATGAGAGTGTGGTTCATCGGCTCTATCGGCCTTTGATTAGTGCCGGCATGGGATTTGGAGCGCAGAGGTGGGTTTCGACCCTTCAACAACAATGTGAATGTCTTGCCATTCTTATGTCCACCGTTACGAGCCGAGATCATATGGGTAAAGAAACCAGTTTCAGTCATATCATGTGAATTACAAACCCTTAAAATTCTTGTGAATTGAAATTAATTTTCTACTTCACATGCAGCAATAACTCCAAGTGGGAGGAGAAGCATGTTGAAGCTTGCACATCGGATGACTGACAACTTCTGTGCCGGTGTTTGCCCATCCACAGTTCATGAATGGAACAGTTTCTCCACCGGAAATGTTGATGAAGATGTCCGGGTCATGACCCGGAAAAGCGTAGACGACCCAGGTGAGCCACCGGGTATTGTTCTGAGTGCCTCTACTTCCGTTTGGCTACCCGTTTCCCCTCAGAGACTGTTTGATTTTCTCCGCAATGAACGTCTTCGGAGTGAGTGGGACATATTATCGAATGGTGGCCCCATGCAAGAAATGGCACACATTGCCAAAGGCCAAGACCATGGCAATTGTGTTTCCCTCCTCCGTGCTAGTGTAAGTGCTCTCGACCCTCTATCTTTTTTGAGTCGATATTTCAACTAGTTTTCTAAAAATTGTAAAAAATGGCTACATGAAGCATGTGCCCATAATCTTTAGGTGATTCAGTTTCATGAGTATCCAGAAAAAGGGTAAAATGATTATAAAGGACAAAACTGGGATTTTGGAAGTATCTACACAGGACGATCCATTCGAGATCCAATGAACTGTCCCAACTTTTTTAATTCTATATAAAAAGTCAAAACACATGACACACATCAACTTTATGGGTCAGCCCAGTGGGGCCCGTGATGTCACTTTTCCCGATGAAAATGGTTGACTCAGTTACGCTGTAACGAATCTGACGTCTGATATCTGATTTTTTTTACAGTAGTGGCAATTTGGTGAAAATTTGATGAAATGCTGAGGTGGTTTTTGTCATTTTGTAGGCCATGAATGCAAGCCAGAGGAGCATGCTGATACTCCAGGAGACGTGCATAGGCCCGGCTGGGTCACTCGTTGTTTACGCGCCGGTCGACATTCCGGCAATGCAAGTGGTGATGAACGGTGGGGATTCGGCTTACGTGGCGTTGTTGCCGTCCGGATTTGCTATCATGCCGGCTGGGCCGGGTTCTCGTGGACCGACGATGGATGGTGGTCCAGGCAATAGGACAAGTGGGTCGTTGTTGACCGTGGCGTTTCAAATTTTGGTCAATAGCCTGCCCGCGGCCAAGCTCACGGTGGAGTCAGTGGAGACGGTTAAGAATCTTATCTCATGCACTGTGCAGAAAATCAAGTGTGCCCTTAATTGTGAAAGTTGATTAAAAAAAATAAAAATCAGCTAAATATGTATTGTGTGTTCGTGTCTGCGTCCGTTACTGTATAGCTAAACATGTGGGTGGAGGAATGAATTTTCTTGAGATGTAGGACTCGCAATTTAGGGGACGAGTCAAGAACGAACCGCACTTAAAACAACCCTTACGAGATGGTGGCATCGCCTCTGTGTTAGCCATGCGATGGTGGTGTCGATTGTAAGGGTGGTGGTTCGGGTATTGACTCATGTGCACCCTTGAGTTGATTCGAGTGGGTAAACAATCATTCGCATGTATGGTTCTGGACTCGATTTAACTTAATTAGATTTTGAAATTAATTTGTTTGCATATTTCCTTTGACATGGTGAATTTCATTTTTCTAGTAATTAATGGTATTTGTCAAATATTTAATGTGACTTACAATTTAATAAAAAATTCGTCAGATATAAATTGATCTCTAGTTTGATGGTTATTAAAATTCAGATTTTAAATTAAGTTAAAGTTAACAATTTATTTTAATCACATGAGATAGACAACTTTAAAAATGTATATTTTATTAATTTTTATTAAAATTTTGATTTTAACCTAGCCAAAGGCTTAATTTTTTACTTAAAAGTTAAAAAATTTATTTTGAAGGTTAATATGAAAATTGCCATTTGCTAAACGTTTCGATGAAGCAATTTTTCTTATCTAAGAATTTACAACTTATTTACTAGTATTGTAAATAGCGTAAAACATGATTAAATGTGTACGCTAAATTTCAAACTTTACGAGTCTAGGCTCCTAGGTGTAAAAAGCGTTCTTATTTTTAAAATTATTTTAAATTTTTAATCATTCTAAAAATTATTTTGTAATTAAAATAATATTTATCAAAAATCTAAAATTATAAATTACTATATTTATGTAATAATTTTTGCAATAGTCAATATGATTTGCAAATTTTCGAAATACAAAAGTTAGACTATTTTATTTCAACTTTCAACTAGACAACTCTTACTTGAAATTTTCTAATGTATTTTCATTTTATACTTTTATATAGAGAGTTTTTTAAAAACTTGAAGCTATGATCAAATACAAGGCTTTTAAAAAATAATTATAATAAAGCTCCACTAGACGCTCATTACCAAAGTATGACGTTTTGCCCAAACCTTAAAAAACTACTTTTTCTCCCTCTTCTCTCAACTTATTATTTTTTCATCGAAATTGTATTTCTCTTAACTAGATGCTCATTGCCAAAGTATGACGTTTGGCTTTGCCTTTGAGCAGGGTGACACGGGGGACGGGATGGCAACAACTCACACAACATAGAAATTTTGATACATAAAAGATACATTTACATTTTGTCTCATCAAAATTTTTCGCCTCCTCTCCGAACTGAAGATCCTGGATGTATTGGTGGAATATAAATTCAAATTCAATCTTTATTATAATTTTGAAAAATAGAGAATTTTTAGACTTTAGATAAACTCTTTATACCAAAGATGTAAGATCACTAGAGAACCACTGGAGATGCTGTAGCCATCGGAGTAGCTATAGATGGTTGTGTGATGTTTGTTTACACACGTACAATGCTTTAAAGTGGAATTGGGAGATAAGAATAACAAGGGCGTGGGGGGCTGCTGAAATGCATTAAATGAAGGTGCAGAAAATGTTTGTTCAAATGCGGGTAAGTTGATAATGTTGGAACTGAAAAATATTAATATTTTAAAATAATTATTAATTTATTGATAAATAAATAATTTCATTTTCTTCATTTATCGATAAACGAATAGTATTAATTTATAAAATATTTTATATTTTTATGATTTGTTATATGTTTTACCATAATACATGTAAGAAATTTAAAAATAAAAAATATATATTAAATATGGTGAAATTCAAAATTTAATATGTAAGTACACAAAAAGGCATGCGCATATATGCATTAAAGAGAAAAAAATGAATGTACGTTCATTGACTTCAAACTTTAATATCTTGAAAAATTAATCGTTCAAATTATTTCATATACACATGTAACATAATTTCTCTAGTCATTAGTTTTAACTTTAGGCCCCAATCATACATTTTTCTACCATGACATCTCATTTGAATGTAAATAAAAAATATATATTAAATATGGTGAAATTCAAAATTTAATATGTAAGTACACAAAAAGGCATGCGCATATATGCATTAAAGAGAAAAAAATGAATGTACATTCATTGACTTCAAACTTTAATATCTTGAAAAATTAATCGTTCAAATTATTTCATGTACACATGTAACATAATTTCTCTAGTCATTAGTTTTAACTTTAGGCCCCAATCATACATTTTTCTACCATGACATCTCATTTGAATTTTTTTACTTAAAAGTTAAAAAATTTATTTTGAAGGTTAATATGAAAATTGCCATTTGCTAAACGTTTCGATGAAGCAATTTTTCTTATCTAAGAATTTACAACTTATTTACTAGTATTGTAAATAGCGTAAAACATGATTAAATGTGTACGCTAAATTTCAAACTTTACGAATCTAGGCTCCTAGGTGTAAAAAGCGTTCTTATTTTTAAAATTATTTTAAATTTTTAATCATTCTAAAAATTATTTTGTAATTAAAATAATATTTATCAAAAATCTAAAATTATAAATTACTATATTTATGTAATAATTTTTGCAATAGTCAATATGATTTGCAAATTTTCGAAATACAAAAGTTAGACTATTTTACTTCAACTTTCAACTAGACAACTCTTACTTGAAATTTTCTAATGTATTTTCATTTTATACTTTTATATAGAGAGTTTTTTAAAAACTTGAAGCTATGATCAAATACAAGGCTTTTAAAAAATAATTATAATAAAGCTCCACTAGACGCTCATTACCAAAGTATGACGTTTTGCCCAAACCTTAAAAAACTACTTTTTCTCCCTCTTCTCTCAACTTATTATTTTTTCATCGAAATTGTATTTCTCTTAACTAGATGCTCATTGCCAAAGTATGACGTTTGGCTTTGCCTTTGAGCAGGGTGACACGGGGGACGGGATGGCAACAACTCACACAACATAGAAATTTTGATACATAAAAGATACATTTACATTTTGTCTCATCAAAATTTTTCGCCTCCTCTCCGAACTGAAGATCCTGGATGTATTGGTGGAATATAAATTCAAATTCAATCTTTATTATAATTTTGAAAAATAGAGAATTTTTAGACTTTAGATAAACTCTTTATACCAAAGATGTAAGATTACTAGAGAACCACTGGAGATGCTGTAGCCATCGGAGTAGCTATAGATGGTTGTGTGATGTTTGTTTACACACGTACAATGCTTTAAAGTGGAATAGGGAGATAAGAATAACAAGGGCGTGGGGGGCTGCTGAAATGCATTAAATGAAGGTGCAGAAAATGTTTGTTCAAATGCGGGTAAGTTGATAATGTTGGAACTGAAAAATATTAATATGTTAAAATAATTATTAATTTATTGATAAATAAATAATTTCATTTTCTTCATTTATCGATAAACGAATAGTATTACTTTATAAAATATTTTATATTTTTATGATTTGTTATATGTTTTACCATAATACATGTAAGAAATTTAAAAATAAAAAATATATATTAAATATGGTGAAATTCAAAATTTAATATGTAAGTACACAAAAAGGCATGCGCATATATGCATTAAAGAGAAAAAAATGAATGTACGTTCATTGACTTCAAACTTTAATATCTTGAAAAATTAATCGTTCAAATTATTTCATGTACACATGTAACATAATTTCTCTAGTCATTAGTTTTAACTTTAGGCCCCAATCATACATTTTTCTACCATGACATCTCATTTGAATGTAGTTATAATAATAATAATAATAATAATAATAATAATAATAATAAAACTACAATTAAGCAGTTATTATTTTATTTCGGTCTTAAAAAATCTCAAAAAATTATTATCTTATGTATTTAATGAGATTATTAATTTAATATAATTGTCTAAATCAATCGAAAAGTTTTATTATTTAAATGAGATTATTAATTTATCGAACATATGCATTTTCATTTTTTTATCCCTCCTAGCATTTCCAATCTCAAAATGTTTACATGATAAAAATAAATTGATGAAAGAATCTGTTCTTTTCGTTTTTAAAATTATCTACACTCTTTATTTACATTCTCTCTTATACATGAGTCCACAATAGTGCAATTCAAACCTCTATGGCAGACTCTCTCCTCTCCATCCCCATTTTACTTGTTGCATGTACAATAAAGAACACTGTCATTGCAGATGCTCTCACACCTCAAAACTTACTCAAGTTTTGATTTAGGATAATCTAGAATTTAGTTATGCCCTCCCCATTTGATAGTCCATTTGATGTTCTCGTCTATTCATTGATAAGTATTAAATATTTTCTTATATTGCGGAATGAAGATGATATCGGATTAATTCAATAAAAATTTGCCACAGAGAGAGAGAGATTATAGTTATAATATGAAGTAATTGATCATAAGAACGCATGAATAAAATAATTTGCAGATAATGAAGATTTCATTATAATATGGAGAGAAAGTACAAAAAATTTTGTGTTTACAATATTTCTAATTTCTTCTAAATCATACTGAATAGCCAACTATGTATAGTAAATAAATAGAGGGCGTCCAAAACCCTAATGGTAGAGTTGTTGTTAAAGTAGAATTCATGAAACAGATTCCAAAACGGAGTAGAGGAGGAAAAATCAATCAAGAAGTGAAACAGACAAGTGCCACCAATGTGGCGCTGCGGCCCTTGGCATTGCACGGTGTTGCCATAGGCCAAGTGTGCGCTACGTCAAGTGAAAATCTCCTTGGCACTGTAGCACCGCAACGTTGGCACAGCGGTGCCTACTCTTAGGGTCCTTTACTACAAAATCGTGATTTACTTCATCTTCATGTCCTCTTCGAGTCAAACATAAATTTCAATTCCCGATTGGGCTTCAAAGTAGAACTTTAAATAGAATTTGTCAAGTAAACTTAAATAGAATTCTTCTTAATGTGCACTTCAATTAGAACTCACAATTATTTTCAACAAAGAATTTGTGTCACACCAAATTCTAGCAAGATCCATCTTGACACAAATTTCACCGCAATGAACAAAACTTCAAAGAACTCTCCACTTGGAAACAAATTTTACTACAATGAATTTGGGATAAGGCCATTTTATGAGGTCAATATTAGAACATATTTGATTTTACTCGAGAGAGATAGTTGAATAAATTGGATCATCGATTATCAAGAATACACAAATTACACTATATTACATAGGTCGAGAAATTAAAGTATAATAACAATAGGTGGATTCGAAATTCCAACACTTCATTCACATGTATAGTTCA